AATTAAGTTTAAATAAATAAATAAATAAATAACAAAATTTCATTAGATTTGGATTTTTATTGCCACAATATTTGATATCCTAAATTGAATGGATTCCAAAAATAATATTTCCATTTATTTCCAATAAATTATTTTTATGCATTAAGTATCAATGTAAACATTTAGATATTAAGTGCGTGTTTTTCTTGAAATTTTAAAATTTTAAAATTGGAATTAAGCTGAAACATTTATAATAATATTTATATTAAATTCCCTTTGTATAATTAAGAAGGGAGGGTGTAACGTCACGACAGAGCCCGACTACGAACCAGTCGTGAAAACTCGTAATTATTTTGCGAAAAAATACCATCTCAGCCAGGAATCGAACCTGGATCTCTTGCTTACCGGGCAGGCATCTTATCCCTTCGACTACCGCCGAGGCATGTGATGATATTTATCGCAAATAACATGTTTAGAATAACACGTCCATAATACAATGATACACATATATACGTATATTACAATATCATATGTATACATATATATATATATACATCTCTCGAATCCCCACGATTCCAGAGAGATGATGGATCTCCTATTCTCTCGATGGATGCAGGTCGGACTGCAGCGGCGACACCCTCCAACGCCATTGGCAAATATTAATTTATACATATATATTTATATTATTTTATAAATTCCCTTTATTTATAAATGCCCTTTTTTATAATTTTTCCATTTTCAACTCTTGGTTTACATTTCGTACCTTTCAGTTTCAAAACATTCAGGTATAAAAACAGCAACAAAAAAAAAGAGAACAAAATGCAAAGTAACTGAGAGTAACGCAAAACTGAAAGTAGCAGGGTTAACGTCAGGATAAACTTGCACAATGATGCGCGGCAAGGTCGGGTGCAACTGCAGTGCAGCGCACTTTATCGCGTCGTCCTGCGAGTTACAGTGACACAGGATTACAGTGTACAGATAAGGATGACGACGGTGCGGTTATCACGGCTGCATTCATTGCTTGTATTCACAGCGGAATCGCCGTGGTAAAAGCTTGCATATAGCTCAGAAGCGACGTGCACGCCGGATACGCTCGTCTTATTAGAGACGTTCTCACGACTGCTCTATGTGGCCACTCAGGACAACGACGTTTATCGTCCTCATAAATCTTATCACCCCCCTTTTCCCTCCGATTTCCTTTACAAGATAATTGTTTGCTTTAAGAGAGTCCAACAAGTGCGTAAAACAAAGGGATTATTGATTCAAGAAAATAAGCTGAAAGATAAAAAAAGATAAAAAGCACAATTTAAGACAGAAAGATAAACAAGATTCGAAATGAAGAATGCGAAATTGTTAGAATGTACAAATCTGTGATAAGGATCGAATAAAAGTTTAAAACCTAAAAATATGAGTAAAAGAATGATAACAAAATGGAGACTAAATAGGTTTAAAAAAAAAAGGCGAAAATATTCAAGAAAATATAATAACGTTTTAATTATAAATGTTCAAGTTATTTTGGAAAATTGAAAAATTTTACGATTTAGAATTCTAAAAGCGAGATATCTGAGAGAAATATGGGTTATTAAATTCAAGCATTCACAAATTCGACGATCATAAACGCAGCTCTTGTATCGCACTCGTCCCGGATGTTATTCGAGGTCCTTCATGGTAAATTCTCCTCAATATCGGCTTAACCTCCTCCTTGATTCTGTCGATGTAGTTCCTATCATTTTCCAAATTGAATCCGCGTTCTGGTACGTACACATAGTACTAAAATTGATAAAAAAAAAAATGACATTTTTTTGCCATTTTTGCATCTCATTTTCCGACGCATCTCCGCATTGGGACTAGCAGTTTTTTCAGACTAGTTGGAATATCGAGAACGTTACATCGTAAAAATACTATTAAAAGTCTTTTTATTGCGTCATTATTTCCTTCAATCGAAAAATTCGAGCTACAAAATTTTCAGAAAAAGAGAATCGGTAGCGCTGGACGATGACACAGAAACGTGGTCACAGACAGCTTGTCGTTATTTTTATGCACTCGACGCTATCGTTTCTCTTGATATGTTAAAAAAACATGTTCAAAAAAATTTCTCAAATACAATTCTTCTAATTTTTCTATTTATTTTTCTCTGCAAACTTTCTTCGCGTAATTTTAAATATACTTTGTTCATACACACGCCTATATGCTGTCTCTTTCTCTTTCTTGTAGAATTTCACCATTGTTCTAATAAAAACGCTATGTTAAAGAACATTGTAATGCTT